ACGTTTCCATCAGAGTTGCCATGGTCATGGTGTCTCTTCACAGGAACAGAACAGTGCCTAAGACTGGCCTCCTCCTGCACCCGCACACATGTATACGTATATACACATACAAACATAAATTAAGATACACCTTTAAAATAAAAACATAGCACGGCCTGCCATGATGGCTCAGTGCATAAAAGTGTTTGCTGCCGAGACTAGGGACCTGAGTTCTAGCCCCTGCATCCACATGGTAGAAGGGGAGAATGCTCTCTGACTCCTGTAGGTCTCACACATACACTAAATAAATGTAACTTTAAATTCGTTAATTATGCAAGGACAACAAGTACTCAATTTTAGTTATGATTATTATCACCACCAGGATCTAAAAAAAAAAACCCTCAAGACTAGCAAAAATAAATAAATAAATACAACCCCAGCATAATGTGATATGCATAATTTCTTTATGCTAAAGAAAGGGAGAGAAGCCTCCTGAGGTGGTTATGCCAATTACTATGTAGTAGTCCGAGATACTGGAAAAACTGAGGCAGGAAGATCTACTGTGCCTAGGAATTAAAGAGCAGCCTGGTCAATACAGTTTCAAAATAAAATGCACAAAGAGGCCTGGGAGGTGCAGCTCAGTAGGAGAGCAATAGGTTAGCATGCACAAGGCTCTAGTTCATTCCCCAGCACTGCAAAGAGAACAACAGGATAGCTCAGTTGGTAGCATGCTTACTTAGCATGCACAAAAGTCCTGGGTTCAATCCCCTAGCCCAGCAAAACCCAGGATAGTGACATGTAATGCCAGCTCTGGGAAGTTTATGATCATCCTTCACTACGCAGTTCAAAGCCAGTTTTGTTTACATGAGATCCTGTCTCAAAAAAAAAAAGAAAGAAAGAAAAGAGAAAAGAAAAGAAGAAAATCCAAGTACATCCTATGTATTTTTTTTTCCTTTTGATACAGTCTTAGGATATCGACCAGGCTGGACTTGAACTTCTGAGATCCTAGATTGTTTTGCCTCAGCCTCTTTTTCCGTAGAGGCTACAGGCAACACCTATGTTTTCTGTTTGGGAATTTTTAGTTTCGAGTCAGGCTGGCTTCAGATCCTTGAGTCTCCAGCTTCACCTTCCACAAAGGCAAAACTATGGTTTTAAATACAGACAACTAAGTAAGAAACTAAGTAAAATGTAGAAATCACATAGAACTGTAAGGTACACCATTTGAATAAATAAACACGAATGCCTGATAATAACCAGCCAATATTTCCCAATACCCCATAAATAAAGATTTGCTTTACTTGAGCCAATTAACACAAACTCATAAAGCAAGGCAATGACCGCTACACAACTAAGGGCCTGTATTTTAAGAACTAAAGTATATTTTCCCTAAGTAAAGAGAGCATCTATGTGCTGTTTGTTAATGTAGAAAATAGGCTGGTAGTCTCGTTCTCAAATTCTACAATCTAAAGTGCTCTAAAAACATGCTGTCCTAGTAGTAACTCAAAGGCACATTTTGCCAACTACAAATGCAATTATGATCCACGCTACCTGCAATTTTATTTTGCCACTAGGCACCAAACACGCATCTCATCTGAGTAGAAAAATCACTTCATTCACTGTTAGGATGCAAAGTCAAATATCAAACTGCCCACAAAACAAGGCATCTACATAAAAGCGGCATACATTTCAGATTAACTACTCAAAACTGTCAAGAAGCAAATCGGAAACGCGTGAAAAACAACCTGAATCTAATAAACGTTTGACTGGTAAGATATGGCCTGCCGGCCACAGCTACCTTTGCAATAAATCTTACTTCTGGTGAATCCCCGTTAACCGGCTCCCCATCCCTCGTGGAACAAATAAATAAAAAACATGATCTAACTACTTCTCGAAATCTGCCCCAAACGCGGGGAAAACAACTGATGTCCCACTAAAAACCAGACTTGGCCAAAAGTAGTATGCCGGGGTTCTCAGAAAGCAAAAGCATTAGCCTGCCCTCCTCCCCCGCCGCCGCCCGGGGAAAAAAAAAATCCCAGGATACCCCTCCAGGATCTGGAGTGAGAAAGAAGCTCAATACCTTTCGAGAGACCGTTTTTGCACCACCACCCCACCACCCCGAAAGCTCTCCTCCCAGAGCTGCGGGGAGCCAAGGATTTCCCGTGGCAACCGCCTTTCGAGCGAGCTAGTCCCAGAATCTCACTTCCTCCCGCCGCCCCTCCCCCTCCTCCCCCCTCCCCCTCCTTCCCCACGCAGTCGCTAGGCCCAAAGATTAGGAAGAATGACCACAAGCGCCCAGCGCCCGCGACTCCCCGGCCTCAACGCTGCAGGCACGGAGGCGTGAGCCGGGCAGAGGCTCCCGACTCCGCGGCGGCGGGAGGTGGAGAAGGCAAGGCGCACCGCAGGCCGCCCCCGACACACACCCCTAGCCCCGTAGGGGCTCCCCACCGCACTCCCCCAGCCCCGCTCACCTAGAGGGAAAACGTTGCCGCTGACCGCGAAGCCGCGCGCGGGCCTAGGGCACCTAGCGCACGTCTTTGCAAACACCCCACTCGAGGGGAAGGCTCCCGGGAGCAGACCGCCGGGGCCCGTGACAAGGGCTTGCGTTTTACCTCATGGGCTCAGCGGTCATGTTTTTGGCTCGAACGCCTGCTTGGCTTCGGCAACCCTTGGGTACCGTTCCTCGTTCCCCAGCGCCCGATCCCGAACGAAAAGTACTGGACTCTTAGTAGTCACCGCAGCAGGTGCTGGATCCTCCCCGCAGCTCAAAGGCCGCTACCGCTGCCGCCGCCGCAGGAGCCGCGGAAACAAAGCGACGCCGCCGCGGACGCCATTTTGTTGGGCCGAGGCTCGAGCAGGAGAATTGGCGCGTCCTCCCTCTTCCTCTTTCCGTCAACTATTGGCTACCTCTGCCAGAGCTCAGTGTCTTATTGGCTACGGGAATTCACCTTCTTTGGGGGCCTGTTGCTAAGGCGGTCGACGTCATTTGATCCCCTCCACCTTTTCATAGTGGGGTTCAGTTCATTCCCAGCTGACCTCAAAGTACCAGGGATGCATCTTGACTTTATCCTGAAAACGCTCCTTTGGTCCATCCTCTTTACCTCCATCTAATTGGCGAAACAGCACCCCATTGACGTTTATTGAGAATTTACTATATGTCGACCTCTATACAGATCCTTTATCTGAATTATCTCATACAATGCTTGTACCCCCCAAAGTAGGCGGACCAACAATTTTCTGGGTGAGGAAACCAAAGCACAAATTCCACATTCAACCAAACACTCGATCTGGAAAAAGAAGAAAAAAAAAAGACATACACTCTGTGCTGTTTGGAACACAAGGCTTTGTGTATCCTAAGTAAATACTGTATCAATGAGCTAGCTACATCCTCAACCCCATGCTCTTAATCATTACTCTATAAGCCACCCAAAATATATTTTCTTTCCTTTATTTTGTAATACCCTCGATTTCTCTCATATATGTTTTATGTATAATATTAACTGGCTGACATGCTTACACATATGTACATTTTTACCTTTTGGGGGAAGGAAGTGAGAAAGGATCTCACGATGCAGTCCTGGCTAGGCTGCAGCTCACAATGTAGACGAGGTTGACCTCAAACTTGCAATGACCTTGCTGCCTCCCAAGTGCTTAGAAGACAGATGTGCCCCGTCACACTTATGGATACTTATAGATACTTAAATGTCTATGATCAGCAAGACATTGGCATACAATTCTTTTGATACTGAACAAACTTGAAACTGTTACACACAGAGCAGCCGTTACTTCAAGCTGATGTGATTGGGGGTATAGCCCACAAGCCAACCTATCTAAATCTTTTTTCTCATTTCATTCTTCATTCATAATCTCTGCAAATCACAAATCAGTTTTCTAAATTAGCAGTTTCCAATTTTGTGCCCACATTTATTCTGCAGCACATGTTCATTCTATTTATTTTGTTTGTTCTATTTATTTTTTGTGAAATATCCAACAGCTTCAGTCATGCTTAGATGTCAGAGTTGCAGTTTTGTACTAGAATGGCAAGAGAGAGCCTCTTTTCAAATAATGCATTCTGATAATCAGACTAGTATAATTGTTTTTCTCAAATTTTGAGTCAGGGTTTCATTGTGTACCCCTGGCTGTCCTGGAACTCTCTGTAGATCAGGCTGTCCTCAAACTCACAAAGATCTGCCTGCCTCTGTCTCTGATGTGCTAGAATTAAAGGCATCCACCACTACACCTGGCTGACTACTATAACTTTTTCAAGATTTGTTTTATTTTGCATGTATGTTTGAGTGCCTGGGTATGTGTATGTGCACAAGTCCTCACATTCTTGAAGAGGGTGTTGGATCTCCTGGAACTGGAGTTACAATCAGCTGTGAACTACCTGATGTGGGTGCTGGGAACAGCAAGTGCTCCTAACCACTAAACCATCTCTCCCACCTCTAGTACAATTTTTTGATGAACAGAAATGTATGATATTTCAAATCATTTTTAAATGTTCAAAGATCCCCTACCAACTGTAGAAATCAACCTGTTGTTCAACAGTTTTCTCTTTTTGGGTTAAATGCATTAAACATCACTTAAACACAATTTAAAGGAGTCATGTTCTTCCTCCTTTTAAAATAAAGTTAACCTGAAAGATCCATTTCATCACAACAGATATGCTTGCTATCTAACAGACACAACTATGGAAAAAATATAGTCTATTATTTTAATCTGAATTAATTTTGTGTTTGTTTCCTTTTGGTTTTGTTCTTTTCATTGTTATTTTGTTTTTTCCTTTCATTGGTTGATTTTAGTTTGGTTTTGGTTTTTCAGTTTTTGGATTTTTGAGACAAGGTTTCCTCTGTGTAGTTTTGGTGCCTGTTCTGGATCACTCTCTGTAGCCCAGGCTGGCCTCAAACTCACAGAGATCTGCCTGGCTCTGCCTCTCGAGTGCTGGGATTAAAGGCGTGTGCCACCGCCGCCAGCTATGTTTATGAATCTTAAGAAAGATATTATCTTTGCTCTTAAAGAATGGCTAACAAATTTTATTGAAATAATAGTAAATATAATCATATTCAGTCATGATAATCTATAGTTTCCCAACCACAGTTTTTTAAGGAAAAAATTGTCAATATACAACTCCTTGATAACTTTCTTCAAATGGCCACAGAAAGCAGCACACAAATCTTCCTGGTATGCTTGTCCATAAATGTAGAACTTGTCAATTTTTTGTTTGTTTGGGGGAAAAGACAGAATAAATTACCTGTAATACAGAAAATCAAATAGTTAGGTATTCATAGTTTTTAATAAGTACCTTCACAAACCCTAGTCCATGTGAAATATACTGTTTTTAATCCAGAAAATTAACTTCTAGAAAGTCTCCAGGACACAGTCTGTCTTACTCACTGTTCTAATTGCTGTGGAGAGACACCATGACCAAGGCAACTATTACAACAAAAAGCATTTAATTGGAGGCTTGCTTACAGTTTCAGACGTTTAGTCCATTATCATCATGGCAGGGAGCATGGCAGCATGCAGGCAGACCCTGGAGCAGGAGCTGAAAATTGCATCCTAATCCTTAGGCAGAGAGAGAGAGAGAGAGAGAGAGAGAGAGAGAGAGAGAGAGAGAGAGAGAGAGGACACTGTGCCTGCCTTGGGCTTTTGAGACCTCAAAGCCCAGTAACACACTTCCTCCAACAAAGTCACACCTACTCCAACAAGACCACACCTACCCAGTCCTTGTAATCCTTTCAAGTAATACCACTCCCTGGTGATGAAACACTCAAATATATGAGCCTATGGGGGTCATTTTTATTCAAACATTCCACTCCTTGTCCCAATAGGTCTGTAGCCATATCATAATGCAAAATACATTTAGTCCAACTTCAAAAGTCTCCATAGTCTATCACAGTCTCAACACTGTTTAAAAGTCCAAAGTCTCTTCTGAGACTCAAGGCAATTTCTCTCTCTCTCTCTCTCTCTCTCTCTCTCTCTCTCTCTCTCTCTCTCTCTCTCTCTCTCTCTGAGACAGGGTTTCTTTGTGTACACTTGACTATCCTGGAACACACTCCTGAGATCAGGCTGGCCTCAAACTCAGATATCCTCATGCCTCTGCATCCCAACGTACCACCACTGCCCGGCTCATGGCAATCTATGAAGGAACATAGTCAGGAAAGACTGGACCAAAGCAAGACTGAAAACCAGCTGAGCAAACTCCAAACTCTGCATCTCTATGTCTGATGTCAAAATGCTCTTCAGATCTCCAACTCCTTTCAGCTTTGTTGACTGCAACATACTTCTTTCTCTTGGGCTGGTTACACTCCCTGTTAGCAGCTTTCCTCAGCAGTTATCTCCAGCTCTGGCATCTCCAACATCTTGGGGACTCCAAGGCAATCCAGGTCTCATCTTCACAGCGTCATACAATGATCTCTCTGTCCCATTCAGGGACACCCCCGACACAAACCTGGCCTCAGTGGCTTTCCTTAGTCATGGAGGGAGATTCCTCAACCCCTTCCTTGTATCCTTGACTCTAAGGCCAGAATCACATGGCTGAAGCTGTCAAGTTCTGCTGTTTTCTGGGATTGGAACATGCTCCTTTTCATTATAGATATACATAAGAATGATTACTAGGGCTGGAGAGATGACTCCGCGGTTAAAGACACTGACTGTTCTTCCATAGGACCTGGGTTTAATTCCCAGCACCCACATGGCAGCTAACAACTGTCTGTAACTCCAAGATCTGCCACCCTCACACAGACATGCATGCAGGCAAAAAACAATGCATATAAGATAAAAATAAATAAATAATATAAAAAAGAGTGATTCTAATAACAACACTAGGTCAATATGGATCAATACTAGGCTGTCTTGAAATCTCTTCTGTCAATGGCATTAATCTAAAGCTCTTCATTTTATCCTCAGGCAGATTTTTAGGACAAAGGTAGAAAGTACCCACATTCTTTGCCAAAATGTCCCAAGAACACTAATTAAACTCAGTGAGTACCTGGCTATAGAGCTTTAATTTCAGCACTAGAGGAGAAACAGAGGTGGGTGGATCTCTTTGAGTTCAAAGTCAGCCTGGTCTTCACAGTGTGTTCCAGGACAGCCAGAACTACATAATAGAGATCCTGTCTCAAGGAAATGTGAGAGGAAACACTTGGGAGGGCAGGTGAGTAGGAGATGAATGAGAGCAAAGTGTACTGACACGTATGAAGATGCCATGGTGACATCCATTTGTTAGCTTGTATGCTAACCTAAAAAATCAATACAAAAGGGAAAGAAAGAAAAATGATCATTAAGAGATTTAAGAGAAAAAAGCTTGAAAGGCACAACCAAAACCTATAAATGTTAAAAGATCAGTGTTGAGTATCTCAGTGGTAGAATATTTGCTTAACCTGTGAGATGTCCTGGATCCCACCCCCAACACCACAAAAATAAGAAGAAATGTAAAAGGAAAGATTAGGAGGCTGGAGAGATGGTTCAGTGGTTCCGGGTGTGTATTGCTGAGAACCTCCGTTCATTTTCCAGCAGTCACTCAGGCAATTCACAGCTGCCCGTAACCCCAGCTCCAAAGGAATCAAACTTCTCTGCTTTCCATGTTCATCTGCACTAGTGTACACACTGTATACATACACACACACTTCAAAATAAAATATAGTCAGGAATGGAGGTGCACACCTTTAATCCCCACACTCAGGAGGTAGAGGCAGGTGGATCTCTGTGAGATCGAGGCCACCCTAGTCTACAGTTAGTTACTGACAGCCAAGGCTGCAAAGAAAGACCCAGTTTCAAAAACTCTGTCTCTCTGTGTGTGCACACACGCTCACCTGCGTGAACACACGTATAGTCTTTTTTAAACGATAGCTTAGCTATCTTCAGATGAAATGTCTCAGTGATTTTTTTTCTGCACTGTGCTTTTCTATTACCTCCAAATTTCCCTGTAATGAGAATATATTATAAAGGTGATGGGGGAAATTAATTTTAATTGTTGCAGGTAACAAAAGGATTATCCATTTTCTAGTGACAAATATGAACCAAGTAGCGATTATACCAACATAAACCTCAGCTCATTATCTTAACAGATGTTCTCATAAAATTCTAATACTAGTGAGGCCCACATACTAGTGAGGGTATATATCATAGATCATGTGGCAGAGATTCTTCACTCCAAGGAGACCAGAAAGCAGAGATATCAGATGCCTTGCTCATTGGCTAGCTTTCCCCCCTTCTCATTTTGTCTGGACCTGTAGCTCATGGGGTGGTACCACTGCTCACACTCAGGCAGAGCTTTTTCCCCTAGTTAACTGCCTCTGGAAATGCCCTGCTAATCTCTCCTCAATCTAATCAAGTCAGGAATCAGGGTTAACCATTACAATGTTCTATGTGTACTTGGAAGAGGATGTTCCTTCTGCACTCAGAGGCTGGAACAATCTACAAATGTCAGATCCATTTGGCTAATGATGCTGTACAAGGCTTTTGTACCTTAGTTAATCTTCTGTATAGTTACTGTATCTGCTGTTGAAAGGGAATCATTTTCTATTACTTTTATTTACTTCTGTCTTCTTTTCTGTTTTGTTTTGGTTAATGTATGTTGACTTCCTGTTGTAGGTTGTATAGTAGTTTAAAATTATTGTATTTACACATTTCATTGTAAAATGTGCCTCTTTGTCTTTTTGTTCTTTTTTTTTAAGATTTATTTATTTATTATGTATACAGTGTTCTGTCTGCACATATCCTTGCAAGCCAGAAGAGGACACCAGATCTCATTACAGATGGTTATGAGCCACCATGTGGTTGCTGGGAATTGAACTCAGGACCTTTGGAAGAACAAGCAGTGCTCTTAACCGCTGAGCCATCTCTCCAGCCCATCTTTTTGTTCTTATAATGAAGTCTCTGTTTTCTAATATTAACATAACCACTCCAGCTCTCTTTACTAACCATGTATTATTTACTGTCAACTTGTCCTTTTTTTTTTTTAAAGATTTATTTATTTATTATGTATACAGTATTCTGTCTGCACACACCCCTGCAGGCCAGAAGAGGGCACCAGATCTCACAGATGGTTGTGAGCCACCATGTGGTTGCTGGGAATTGAACTCAGGACCTTTGGAAGAACAAGCAGTACTCTTAACCTCTGAGCCATCTCTCCAGCCCCTTGTCCTTTTTTTTAAACTGTTTTTTTTTTTTATGTGCATTGGTGTGAAGGTGCCAGATCCCCTGGAACTGGAGTTACAAACATTTGTGAGCTGCTATGTGGGTGCTAGGAAATGAATCTGGGTCTTCTGGAAGAGCAGCCAGTGCTCTTAACCACTGAGCCATCTCTCCAGCCCCAACTTGTCTTCTTTTAGGAATAGCATCTGTGTCATTTGTAGATAGAATTAGAAAAGGTTTGAAAAAAAATGCAGTGTGCTAATCTGGTTTTGTTGTGTTTGGGGTTTGATTTTTGTTTGGTACTTTGTTGGGTTGGGTATTCATGGGGAAGAGGATTGAAACAGAGTCTTATATAGCCCAGCAAGTAGCTGAGGATCACTCTGAACTTCTGATCTTCCTATCTCTATCTCCCATGTGCTGGAATTACTAGTATGAACCACTACCTGTTTATGCAGTATTGAGAGCCTAGTACATTCGAGACAAGCATATGCCAACTGAGCTATATGCCCAGTTCCACATATTTTGATGTAACATTTTAATACTTTTGTTGATTTTTATTTTGTAAAATAACTTTAAAAAATTAACGTAGAAAATAATGGGTTTACTGGGTGTGCTTAAATACTAGCATATGCTGAGGCAGAATTCTCACAAGTTTAAGACCAGCCTGGGCTATCTATCAAGTTCCAGGGCAGCCAGTGTTACATAATGTGGCTCTATCGCAAAAAAAAAAAAATGGTTTTCATTATGATATTTTTTACATATGTATGTACACACACACTCATTGGGGGAAAAAACCACACACACACACAAATAATAACAATAACAACAAAAGAAGAAAATGGCTGTCATGTAGCCTTGAACTCCTCATCAGAAAATGAAAGTCGTCTTCAGCTACGTAGCTAAGCCAGTCTGGGCTACATGAGATTCTGTTTCAAATTAAAAAAAAAAAAAATAGTTAAAAAGTATGCTGTTCAATTCCCATGTACTTGGGAATTTCCCAAATTCCCTTCAGATACTGTTAGTTTCAGTTAGCTGTGCTCAGAGGACACACTTCATATGATTTCAGTCCTTTTTCTTTATTGAGCCTTGTTCATGATCGTTATGTGAGGCTTTTCTTAGGGAAACACCACACACACACACACACACACACACACACACACACACACACACACACACAGACACACACACACATCAATGATCCCCTGAAAAAGAACCCATGACAAACCCAAGTACTGATTACATCAATGTCCAACTTGGTGAAGAAGAGTTTTTATTGGGTTTGCTAACAGAGTATGGGTGAGGGGTTGTTTTCATAAGCAGGGATGACTCAAAGGCCATTGCATCATGAAAAACTTCACTCCGATGCAGAGGACTCTGGAAAACTGCATCCCTGAGGCTCTCTGCATAACTTCCAGGAGGCTAAGGCGCCAAGAATCTCTCTCAGTAGCTCAGGCTCCTCCCTAAGCAGTTGTTTACTCCTTTTATAAAGCTAGGGGGAGGTCCTAAAGCATCTTTTCTTCCTGCTTTTTTCAGCCATGTGACCTTTTGTTTACCTCTTTAGTCTCAGGAGCCTCTCCCTCCTACAGAGCAAGTTTCAGTTCCCAGGAAACGGCCTTAAAAGAGTGACCTAAATTATGGTAGGGTCTAGATTGTTCCATGTTCACATGGAAAAACATGAATTTGTTTTATTAAATATAAGAAACATTAGATATTAATCTTTTCTATAAAACACATTAAAATACTGGTGTTTAAGACAAGGAATGAAAATGTTTTTACAATTCTTTTTATCTTCCTCACCTCTATAAAAATGTTTTAATCTTTCAAATACTTGTAAAAGAAACACTTCTACAGCTAAAATCACATATTGACCCTCACACAGTGATATAGTGGGATTCGTCAATACCCCAGTTTAGAAAATAGACGGGTCATCCAAACAAAAAGAAACTGGGAAACATTGGAGTTAAATAAATCAGATTATCTAACAGACATCTACAGAAAGTTCTACCCAAACACAAAAGAATATATTTTCTTCTCAGCATCTCATGGAACTTTCTCCAAAATTAACCACATACTTGGATACAAAGCAAATCTCAAGAGGTATAAGAAAATTGAACTAACACCCTGCATCCTGGATTAAAGCTGAATATCAACAACAACAGCAATAGCAGAAAGTATACAAACTCATGAAAACTGAAAATTCACCATTAACGAACAATGGGTCAATGTAGAAATCAAGAAGGAAATAAAGAACTTTTTAGAAACAAATGAAAATGAACACATGCTCAAACCTATGGAACACAATAAAGACAGCTCTGAGTGGCAAGTTCATAGCACTAAGAGCCTACAACAGCAACAATAACAAACTGCAGAGATCTCATATTAGAAACACCTGAAAGTTCTAGAACAGGAAGAAATAACACCAAACAAGAGTAAACATAAAGAAATAATCAATCTCAGAGCTGAAATCAATGAAATAGAAACAAACAAACAAAAAAGCAATGCAAACTGTCAATGAAAGGGAGAGTTGGTTCTTTGAGAAAAAGCAGTAAGATTGACAAAACCCTTAACCAAATTAACCAAAAGATGGAGAGATCCAAACTGATAAAATTAGAGATGAAAAGGGGAACATTACAACAGACATCAAGGAAATCTAGACAAGCATAAAGATATACTTTAAAAACCTGTACTCCATCAAACTGGAAAACCTAAAATAAGTGGATAAATTCCTTGATATATATGATCTATGAAAGATAAATCAAGATCAAGTAAGTATTTTAAACTGACCTATAACCCTTAGTGAAATAGAAACAGTAACCAAAAGACTCTCAACAACAACAAAAAGCCCAGGGTCAGATGGATTCACCACAGAATTTAAGCACACTACCAAGGAAGTATTAATGCTAATACTCCTCAAAGTATTCTGCAAACTAGAAACTGGAGAAACATTTCCTAATCTTTTGACAAGGCCACAATTATCTTTACACCTAAATCACACAAAGACCCAACAAAAAAAGAAAATTATAAGCCCATATCCCTTGTGAACATAGATGCAAAAATTCTGAATAAAATATTTGCACACTGAATACAAGAACACATCAAAAAGATCATCCATGCTGGGCGGTGGTGGTGCATGCCTTGAATCCCAGCACTTGGGAGGCAGAGCCAGGCAGATCTCACTGAATTCAAGGCCAGAGGCAGAGGCAGAGGCAGAGGCAGAGACATGGTCATAACGAAGACCGGAAGCTGAGCTTTTGTCCGCTGAGGAGTTGGTGAGAACATGGAGATTAAGATCTTGGAACAGGGACGCCTTTAATCCCAGCACTCGGGGAAGGAGTCGTCTCGTGGGACACAACCAGAACTGACCAAACACTCTGTCTGAGACCAACCCAGGGCCCAGCTGCTGATCCTGTGAAACCCAACAACTTGGAGGTGTTGGTGAGACTACCCTGCTCAGCTGAAATCCATCCAGGAGAGGTTTCAGAACCCTGCAGTCTGCAGTCTGAGGAAACAAGATCAGCTGAGGAGTTGACGAACAAGCAAAACGACCTGAGAACACAAAAGAAGGCGCCGCCCAGCCACCGAACCAGATTACCAGAATCAGAAGCCTACTCTACACCAACTGGGAACAGGTAAGCCCCCATCTCCAGACTGTTAGACCAGGTCTCTAGCCCCTAGGCCCCACCCATTGGAGTCCCAGGGACCAGACAGCTACCTTTCTCTGCTCCCCCACCAAAAAACATACAAACAAACAAACAAAAAACCCAACCCCTATGAACCCAAAAATCAATAGCCTTCCTGTATACAAATGAAATCCTGAAAAAAAAAAAGAAATCATGGAAACAATACCTTTCACAGTAGCCTAAAAACAAAAACAAACAAAAAACAAAAAACAAAACAAAAAAAAAACAAAAAAAACAACCCTTGGGATAACTCTAACCAAGCAAGTGAAAGACTTGTATAATAAACAATTAAAAAAAACATTGAGCCGGGCAATGGTGGTGCACGCCTTTAATCCCAGCACTCGGGAGGCAGAGGCAGGCAGATCTCTGTGAGTTCCAGGCCAGCCTGGTCTATAAAACAGGTTCCAGAACAACCACTGCTACTCTGAGAAATCCCTGTCTGGAAAAAAAAAAAAAACAAAAAAGCAAAAAAAAAAAAAAAAAAAAAAAACAAACAAAAAAAAAAGGAAGGATCTCCCATGTTCATGGATAGGTAAAATTAGCACTGTGAAAATGGTCATCCTACCAAAAGCAATCTACAGACTTAAAGTGATAAATCCACGGAGTCTGCTTAAGAAGTATTAGGGAAATTTATTAAGGGAAATTGAAGAAATATACTCACAAATACAGAGCGGAATAGGACAGCAGAAGTTCTTCCTCTTATCTGACCAGGAGCAAATCCACCTGCAGGCTGCAGGGAGAAGGGACATATGAACCTTCTCCCTCTCCTTTTAAGAGGTGGTGTACAAGAGCAAGAAGTACCGCCTCCTTCGGGCCCCATAATCCAAGGTCATGGACAGAGCAAATACCACTACATTTCCCCTTTTTGTCTAAATAAGAAGGTTCTAAACTTAATTCAAACTATATACAATAAAGATGATTATCAAGTATTGTCAAGGAAACAAAGGGTAATAACATAAACAAAAATGGAACTACAGCTAATAAGAACAACATCAAACAAGAAACACATGCTAAATGACCAGAAATGTCCAGACATAGGTAAATGGCAAATTACTGAGATTACTCCAAAAGCTGTCCTATCTTGAAGATTCTAAATCTAGTACTAATATGTTCTAGCTAAGATATGAAAAGATTGTAACTGTAACTATCTAGTCTTCAACTCCATCAAAGACCTGAGAAGGAACATAATAATATGTGAGAAAATGGGAAATACAAGCAAGCAATTTCCGAAATTCTTTTGAGAATAGACAGAGACAGCTGTCAGCCTGGACAGTCACCTAAAATTTCTCAGCATTGTTGGGGCATCCAATTTGGCTATAGGCCTAGAATATCTGACCATTTTCAGAAGCAGAAATTTTGAAAGATCATCTTACCTGTCTCGACAGAGTTCAGTAGTCACTTTTCCTGTGTCCTGCTTGTCCGGAAAGGACAGTGTGCATACTGTCAGCAGTTGAGGCAAGGGCAGTTCTTTGCCCAGCAGGCCACTTCTTGTGCCAAGAAGAAGACAAACTTCCAAACGGAAATGTCGTAGAAGCCCAACATTCTCTGGGGATCAGATCAGTGCTGCCAGGAACAATTGTGTCTCAAGTCAACAGAATTCTAAGTTAGCAATACATTTAAATGTCATATTTTCTATGTCTACAAACTGTTTGAAGACTACCTATCCATCTGACATATGTTTCTGTAAATCTGGACAACCTAACTAACTATGGAAATGACAAGCAGGGGTGACTATAAATCTGTAAGTCTTATCTACCTAAATAACCTAAGGACTAAGGCTTCACATTAACAAGGTAAACGGTCTGTAAACAGATGTACAGTATAAGGACAATGACCTCAGATGTACAGTATAAGGACAATGACCTCAAAATTATGACAATACACAAAATATCTTAAATAGGAGTAGAAATGTATAGTGCAAAATGCAATATGACAACAATATCCTTAATATGTATCAATAGAACATACAGTATGACAAATATAATTTTACATTTGTATCAATATTTCAAACAGGAGTAGGAATATGTAGGAATACAACAAATATAGTTTCATATTTGTATCAATACACAAATTATCTTAAGTAGGAATATAAGAATAGTTTACATTTGTATCAGTATACAGAATCCATATCAGTGTAAATTATCCAAGACTGATAGTTTGCTAAATCAGTTTACTAGTAGATACAATAATCTATCTTAATTTACTATACCTATCCATTCCCCCTTTTCTTTTCTAAAGGAGAATACTGAGTCTAAATTTTATTGTACCATCCCAACCCTATAACCATCCAGCCATAACCCTGAGAAAAATGAAACCTTTGGGAGAGGGGCATCATTTTCTTAGGATTGCTTCCTGCTGTTTAGAGGGCAATACTATCTCTGTGGAATCCTGTAAGAAAGTTTAGATAGCTAGGTCTCAATAGGGCTAACCATAGAGTCAGCAGCCAGTCTCAGTAATGGGTAAGATTGTCTGAGATTCTGGCTAGAAGTGTAGTATGATCATCTTAGAAATGTCCTGAAGAGTTTTCAGTCCAAGGCTGATCATTGAGTAATGTTCTTAGGTGCAATGGCATCTTTCTGGACTGAGTAGAGTCATTGTTATGGGGCCCCATCTTCCTTCTGGAGACTTTAGAGATTGTTATTGGGAAGACTTATTTTTCACTATGGAAAACTTGAACATTATTAATATCAAACTGAAAAGTTTGGATTAATGCAGGATCAAAAAGGGATTCCCAGAAAGCAAGGACAAGCATGGAAAAAAATAGAATCTTGACAACAATGGTCCCTACATTATTGGTTTTCTTCTGTCTCACACCAGTTGGCTCTTCCAATATGATACAGAACTTACTAATTTTTCTTTTAGCAATATGCTTGGGTTTAGAGGAGAGAGTCACATTCCAACTTCAAAGCCAGCTTGATTTATAATTAAATCGGAACCACAACTGTTCTAGAGTTAAAGAGATACAGAAGTTAGGCATTGAGATATTACCCTGTAGAGTATATTGGTACCAATAGGTTCTTCCCTTCTGCTATAGAAGTCTGGGTGTCCAAGGCCTTATGCTTTCTTGAAGATGGGTATTCTTATTATCCTGTAAAGACAAAAAACAGAACCCTGCCCCAACCCTTGTTTGTTGAGTTTTTCTTACAACTTGTAGAGTTGTGACATTGGTGGATAAGCTGTTACCTCTCCTCACCAAGGGGTTTCTCCTGTTCAAAGCAAATTTTTTATTAATTTTGTTGGTATCCATAGCTTTTCTTCTCCTGCAGAAACAAAAGCAGAACCCCTTCCCCAATGTAGGATGTATCCTGGTTTCCATTCCAAGGTCAAAACACCTTTGAAGTAAACTGGTTAATTTAGTTCAGGAGTTTCCTCTGTTATCCAATGTCTCTCCACAGTTGTTGTTCCTTTCTCATCAGCATTGAGAAAATTCAAAATAATAATAATAAAGCACTATACAATCTATTTCTAGAAGTCATTGTTACCTGTCTCTGTTTATTTAGCATATCCTTTAAAGTTCAATTGGATCTTTCGATGACTGTTTGGCCTGTGGGATTGTGTGGTATACCTGTAACATGCTTTAATTTGTAATAAGCAAAAAACTGTCTCCTTTTGTTTGAGAATATGCTGGGGCATTGTCAGTCTTAATTTGTACAGGTATTCCCATGATGGCCATAACTTCTAATAGGAGTGTAATCACAGAGTCAGCCTTCTCAGAACTCATAGGAGTTGTCCATTAAAATCCTGAATAGGTGTCAATGGTAGGGTATACATATTTTAATCTTCCAAATTCTGCAAAATGAAATACATTCGTCTGCCAAATTTCATTACACAGAATCAATGCAATATCTATGAAAATCTGAACATAATTTTTCATGAAAATTGAAAAGATAGCCAGACAGTGATGGCACACACCTTTAATCCTAGCACTTGGGAGGCAGAGACAGGCAGATCTCTATGAGTTTGAGGCAAGCCTGGTCTACAAAATGAGTTCCAGTACAGCCAGGGCTACACAGAGAAACCCTGTCTCGAACCCCTTCTCCCCCAAATTTTGGAAAGACAGTTTTCAATTTCATTTGGAAATATACGCACACACACACACACACACACACACACGCACACGCACACGCACACGCACACGCACACGCACACGCACACACACGACAGCTAAAACAACCCTGAACAATAAAAGAACTGCTGTAGGTATCACCATCCCAGATTTCAAGTCATACTACAGAGTTATAGTGTTATGCCCTGGGCATGAGACCCCCGAAGAGACCACCAGAGACACGAACTCATTGAAATGCAAAAGCAAGGTTTATTGAAGCAGTTTAAGCCACACGGCAGGGACATCAACAAGCCATCCAATATAGTAGAGGCTGGAGGAGGTGCCCGCCCCTCTGCAAGCTCAGTTTTTAAAGGAAAAATCCATAAGGCTACATTAGTTAGGGGTGCTAGTACGAGTACAATTCTGATTGGCTCAAGTTTTAGGGGCTTTCCAGAATTTCTGTGTTATCTTACTTTGTAGTATTGACTGGTTGTTTGTCAAACTTTATAGACTATCTCCGGCATTGGAGCATTCTATGGTTATTCAGTTGCTACCAGATGGCTCTTCATACATCCTGACTTTGTCCTGGAACCTATGTCAGCAGCTGTAAGAATTTTCAAACTCAGGCCTGTTTCAAGCTGGGGTGAGGGGCTTACTTGAAATGGGGGTGCTTTGGATCTTCATTTCCCCCTTCTCATGTGCCTAATGGAACCCAGTGATGGGTTCCTAATGGCCAGCTCATAGGTGTCCCTGGGCTCCATGGGCATTATTTTTTGTGGTTTTTGTACCATGAGCTGAATTGTACCCAGCCTCTGTCTCATGTATTGGAGCAGCCGGTTGAGGATAGATGGCCTGAGGGTTAGTATCAGAAGCAAGACTATTAATGGGCCCATTAGGGTGGAAATTAAAGTAGTTAACCAGGGAGAACTGTTGAACCAGGACTTGAACCATCCCTGGCTGGTCTCTCAGTCACGATTTCTCTATGCCAGGGAATTTCCTTTTGACCCAGCATTTCAACTTTATTCTGGACAGGGAGCATGGGATGACATAGTCTCTTCTGGAAATGCTTCGAGCTGGCAAAAGGGCGCCATTGTCAGGGCCCGCAAAAGGCTTTAAGGCTAGTCAAAGGCTGAAAGGCTAGTAAAAGGGTGGGCAATGGGGCATTTGTAAGCATGTGACTATCTGACCATGTAGAGACAGGAAACAGTCACATCGGCTGGGATGGTCCATATCAGCTTTTAGCAAGTCCAGAGTTCATAGTCATCAGGAGCAGTATAGTCAGCAACTGAAGCTTGGAGGTGACTGCCAGCCAAATGGAAATCTGTTGAGAGAAACTTAAACTAGGAACAGAAGTTAAAATTTATGAACTTATTTGGAACCCTTAGGCCCATACCTTTAGTAATTGGGAAAGGCAGGAGTCTCAAGACCAGGAGAGAGGAAAAATATCATCCTTAGGAATAAACTGCACTTATCTGGGATCCTTCCAACCTCTGTGAAGTGGATCCAAGTTTCATGACTCTTTTAATTGTTTAGGGCTACAAGAACTATCTTACAAAATGACATAAAAGATTTAGATGCGCCGGGCGGTGGTGGCGCACGCCTTTAATCCCAGCACTCGGGAGGCAGAGGCAGGCGGATCTCTGTGAGTTCGAGGCCAGCCTGGGCTACCAAGTGAGTCCCAGGAAAGGCGCAAAACTACACAGAGAAACCCTGTCTCGAAAAATCAAAAAAAAAAAAAAAAAGATTTAGATGCATTAGTATTACCAATCTGTACTGAAATCCATATTGTAGACAAGGCAGGCAATGGGTATCTGTAAAACAGCAGAAGTGGACTCATACCTTTGAGTCCCAACAAGAACTATAGATTTTTGTTAAAGCAGGTGCATTTTCCTTCTGTCCAGAGAGCCACGTATAAATTGGACAGAGATTTTTGGCCTGATGAGAAGCATTTCTAGGTTTATATTTAGATATATTTATATGACATCTAAAATGTTGAGCTTGTGACTGAATAGTAAGTAGTCATTGCTCTACCAGCTTATCAGGACTCTATTAAATGTTAAACTCTGAACTGTTATATCATAGAACAGGAGAGCAATCTGAAACATTTTTTATCTTTATATCTTGTATTTATATCTTAAATAATTTTTTTTGAGATCCATAAAGCTTAGAAGCTTTTATATCCTCAGGCCCTTTTTTAGACTCATATTTGAACCTTTATGACTTATTTAAGTTTTTATATTTTAAAAGTGAGCTAACAAGCTGGCTATACCCTTGGAGAAGGATCTGGTTGTCTGATGCTGCCAAGCTGACAAAGTTATAGATAACCTAGCCATCAGTACTATCAGAGATTTGAGAAGGATAAATTATATCTGAGTGCAGACCAAGCAGCTTTCAATTCTATAAATGACAGGGACCAGTCCATACCCAGGATTCCATAGTGTTGGAGGCACTAGTCAGAACAGCATTAATTTTCTTCCGCCATCAGGCCCATAAGGTAGAGTATTTTTCCTGTGAAATAGGGACATGGAGGACTGATCTTGATTTGTCCAGGCAAAAGGGTGCAATCAATTCCAGTGTCCTGCTGCTTGTCCATAGTCTGGGCTGGGTTCTGGCGGCAGGCGTTGCATTGGGGCATCTTGCATGATGGTCAGCATTGCCATAATTTAGGCAGAGACATTGTGGTGCCTTGTACGTAATCTTTGGAGACCTTGGGTCATTGCTAGGATCTGGAAGTCTGTCTGATATAATAAGCTTTTAGATCAACATTTAAATACCATATTCTGCAGATCTCTGAAGTATGAGGGCTGTCCAGGTATATCTGAATAGACAAACTTTGTTTCTAGTTACTTGTTTTAAGCTCAACCCTGAAAACACATGCAAGGGACTGAGTAAAGTTATCCCTGTAATATTACATCAGTACTTATTTACCTGACTATAATTAAAAAAACTTGATTATTTATGACTGACTATTTACTTATGTTCCCTAACAGTCTACAATAAGTAGCCTCAAAAACAATGATTTTAAAATGAAGCTCTTTTAGCATCAAATATAGGTTCAGTAAAGAAACCAAAATAAATCATCAATATAAAATATATATATATATGAATCAATTTATCCAAATAGCTTAAGCCTAACAAACGTACCAAATACAAGGAGGCTACATAACATTCTTTGTACTTTGGGCAAGGAGAAACATTCTCCAAGTCACTGGTTTTTAACTTTTTTTAATGCTATTTTATAACTGCAGTTTTTTGTCATTGTTGAATCTCAATGCAAACATCTGACATACAGGTAGTCCTAGGCCACCCCTATAAAAAGATTTTTTCCATTCCCAAATGGTGAAAACTCATGGAGTTAGAAGCTATTTCAAGCCCTTTGTCTGACTGCTTAGGTCATTGTCTTGCTGCATCTCAAGAAATGAACATCCAAGTTTCTGGTTAGCATTTGGAGCTTATGGCTGTGACCCTAATTTTTAGCCTTTTATTCTGAGTCCAAACATTAACAATATAGAGCATTTTATAAGCTAAAAATGTCTCATAGCCTTATAAACTTAAATATTTTAAAAACTGTTTTTAAAAAGATTAAGATCTCTCAAATGTCTTTCTGCAATATCAAAAATAAAATACCTTCTTTTACTTTAAGGGGTAGAAAACATGGCATCACCAAAATCTGCATAAAGTAAAACCAAGCTCCAAAGTGCAAACAATCCCAAAGTTTAATATCTGGGATTCGTTTATAATCCTTTTGGTTCTTTTACTTAGAGGCTTGATTGATTTCTTTGACTCTACCCTTGCCAGCACATACATAGCCTGCCTGCTCCATTTTATTATGGCTGGTGCTTCCAGTGATCATCACCTGGCACTTCCATAACAGCATGCTAAGGTCCATCATTGTAACTAGACTCTCTTTGGAACTCTAGTCTTGGCATATGTTTGCAAACCTCAGTTGTTCCCTATGATCCTTTTATGTCTTTAAAACCATTATCATTTTATTACATGGGTAAATCTTAAATTACAAAGTTTAGCTGCCAGAGCAAGGTATATTCCTGTGTATAAAAGCATTGACATTTAGCTTTAATATTTATCAAATATCTTATTTATTAAACATGTTGTCATCTATTTAAAATTTTTAAAAGCTTGGTGTTGAACACTTGGTAAAGACATAAGTACTTAGGTGTAAATCTCTTCAGTTAGCTTTTGTTAACTTGAATGGATCTTTATAACCTTAGTAAAAGATGGTTGTTAGCCACATGGCTGCCCATGAGGTCACCAGCCAAGATGGAGAAAGCCACGTGGTTACTATTTAAAGCATGTTTTTTTAAACAATAATTACTTGCACACATACTTACAATTGGATCCAAGTTACATACACATACATATTGTTAAAACTTGCCTATATTTACATATATAGTTAAATCCAAGTTATGTACCTGTCCACATATATACATACATAAACAGTTTGCAGAATCATTAGCCACTTTTAAAATGAAAACCAACCAGAATTAACTTTTAAAATCAGTATTTGCAGGTATAAGGAACCGTAACAAACATAGTTCACATCCCCTCTGACTTTCCACAACTTTTCATGTAACCTCAAGCCATTCCTTTGATCCCTCGGACATTTACTCCAGACAAATTCTGTCTTTTTTTTTTTTTTAACATAGAAACTCTTACCAAAGTCTTTCTTATGATTTCCCTTGGTAATCTAGAATGTATTGTAAAGCTACAATATTTTAAATAAGAACAGAAATACATGTATATACCATAACAAGAATAACTCTAAATTTGTATCAGCCCTGTACCACAGACAAGAAACTGTTGGTTAGCCTTATAACATAGCCACAGTAGCTTATCAACCATAGGCAGTGACATTTCATTTCATTCTGGGAGCCAGACCTTGATCAGGTTTTAGCCCCAGGGTAGGTCTTGGGAGCCCCACCCAACAGCATGGGAGAGGAAGAGGACCGGGAAGGCACACACCATGGGGAAAGAAGATCACTGTTAACCTCAGATTTTCAAGTTCACCAGAGTGGTGGGTTGGAAAGGACTCCCTGTCCCCGGCTGGAGCCACAGACCTGTAGGCCACTCCTTAGCTGTGACCCTGGAGTGACAGTTAGTTCTCCATTAGCCCCGCCCCGGTCAAGCAAAACCCGAGCTCCCTGAAGCCCAAGCCGGCCCCCGCCAACCCCGCCCCACGACTCTCCACAAGGGAGCCCAGCCAGAACCTGCTGGCCATGTCCGGGCCCCAAGGTGCTCACAGCCGTCCTAGCACCCACTCAGTGGTGTCCTGAGCTGGGCAGCTGCTGCCTGCCAGACTCATTGCTGCGAGTTCCTGCCAGCTGCCCAAACACTGGTCAGAGAGCAAGAAAGCAATGGGGGAATTCTGTTAGTCTGTCCCAGTTCAACCAAAGGGACCTCTGTCCCTTTTGTTGGCCATCCGGCCCATGAGTCGCAATGCACACACATGCTCAGGCATAAAACATACATATGTGTGGCCACAGTTCTTACACACTTACACATTCATATAGGTAGGACATTCCAACAGAAAGGCAAGCAAAAATATTTTACAACATAAGACAACAAAACAGCTCTCCTGGTGCCGCAGACAAAACCCCCTTGGGTCACGGTCTGCAGTGTGTTAGCAAACGAATGATGAGCAGAAACATAACAAGTTACATTGACGAACAAGACAGTCAGACAAAAAGGAAGAACAAGGGCCCTTACAGAATTCCGAGGACAGATGGTCCAGGCAGACCGGGCATCCAGAGAGGGAGCCTCAATTATGCCAAAGATGGTACAGATGAGACAGGGACAAGTCTACAGAGTCTCCCGATCCCCAGAGTTTTCAGATACACAGACAGGCCCCTCGTGGGTCCCTGGCAAAGTGGCCTCAGACTTGAGACCCCTGCCCAGACAAGGAGAGGGGACGTCTCCCGACTCCTCTGGGTTTGCTTTTACAGCACATCCGCCAAAGTGGAACCTCTCAGATACAGCTCAGACAGCTGCTGGCAGCAATCAGAAAACAGAAACAACAAACAGAAAAGACAAGACAGACAGACAGACAGACAGACAGACTCACCCGATCAGCCGTTGTAAACCTTCGGGTTGCGGGGTCTCTGGGCTCCCCCCAAATCCTAGACGAGCCGCCAAATGTTGTGCCCTGGGTGTGAGACCCCCAAAGAGACCACCAGAGACACGAACTCACCAAAATGCAAAAGCAAGGTTTATTGAAGCAGTTTAAGCCACACAGCAAGGACATCGACAAGTCATCCAATATAGTAGAGGCTGGAGGAGGTGCCCGCCCCTCTGCAAGCTCAGTTTTTAAAGGAAAAAACCACAAGGCTACATCAGTTAGGGGTGCTAGTACGGGTACAATTCTGATTGGCTCAAGTTTTAGGGGCTTTCTAGAATTTCTGTGTTATCTTACTTTGTAGTTTTGACTGGTTGTTTGTTAAACTTTGTAGACTATCTCCGGCATTGGGGCATTCTGTGGTTAATCAATTGCTACCAGATAGTCCTTCAAACATCCAGACTTTGTACTTTTGACCATCTCCGGCATTGGGGCATTCTATGGTTAATCAGTTGCTAGCAGATGGCTCTTCAAACATCCTGACTTTGGGACCTATGTCAGCAGCTGTAAGAATTTTCAAACTCAGGCCTGTTTCAAGCTGGGGTGAGGTGCTCGCTTGAAATGGGGGTGCTTTGGTTCTTCAATAGTAATAAAAATAGTATGGTATTGGCATAAAAACAGACATATTGATTGATCAATGGAAATGAATTGAGATCTAGACATAAATCCACACACTTATGGACACCTGATTTTTGACAAAGAAGGCAAAAATACATACTGGAGAAAGATAGCATCTTCAACAAATGATACTGGTCAAATTGGATGGCTACATGTTACAAGATTGAAATAGATCTATATTTATCTCTCTGCACAAAACTCCAAAGGGATCAACGACCTCAACATGAGACCAGATAACCCCGAATCTGATAGTAGAGAACGTGGGGAATACTCTTGAACTCATTGTCACAGGAAAGGACTTTCTGAACAAGAAAATGATAACACAGACAGCAAAACCAAAATTAATAAGTGGAACCTTATCATTTGAAAAGCTTCTGTATAGCAAAGGACACCATTATTCAGATAAAGTGGCAGCCTACCAACTACACATTCAATAGAGCGCTAATATTCAAAACATGTAAAGAACTTAAAAAATCTGGATATTGAGAAAAAGAACCCAATTTTAAAAATGAGGTACAGTTCTAAACAGAGAATTCTCACAAGAGGAAACGCAAATGGCTGAGAAGCACTTTAAGAAGTGTTCAACATCTTTAGCTATCAGGAAAATGCAAATCAAAACTACTTTGAGATTTCATCTTAGATCAAACAGAATGGTCAATATCAATAAAACAAATAATAGCACATGTTCACAGAGACAAGAGGAAAGGAGAACAGTTATTCATTTCTGATGGGAGTACATATTTGTATAGCCACTATGGAAATCAGCATGGTAGTTCCTCAGGAAGATGCAAACTGATCTACCTCAAGATCCAGCTATACCCCTCTTGGGCATAGATCCTAAGGACACTCTATCCTACTATAAAGACACTTGCTCAACCATGTTTGTTGTAGCTTTATTCATAATAGCCAGAAATTGCAAACAGCCCAGGTATCTGTCAACTGATGAATGGAAAAAGAAAATGTGGTACATTTACCCAATAGACTATCACTCAGCTGTTTAGATTTATCTGACTGGCCTGTCTATTGATGAGAGTATTTATTGTGCAGAAGTCCCCACTATTATCTTATCAGGTCAACAAGTGATTTTTGCTGTAGAAGTGTGTAGGAGGCAGGGAGGTCCTTGTGCTCCCAGATAAGCACTAGGGGAAACAGAAATGTTAAACACACAGGGTTGTCTCTTCAAAATGAGGAATGCATAACCTGTCAACTGCCCAGAAGTCAGTTGTTATGGTTAATAGCCTGGTGACTTTTGCAGTGTTTCTGTGGCTGAGACCACACTTGCTCCTCCTCAGGCTCTTACTGTGGAAAGTGTCACATGTAATCCATCTACAGAATCCATCTTTATGGAAGATGTCACATGTACTTTACAAAGAATTTTGCTGTAGTCATGCTTAAGCTTTATTGTGCATACAGGATTGAGTTAATTATCATCGGGAAAATTTTCATCAAATTGTACTGTTCTTACTTTTACATATGCCTAAAATAAACTACCTGTGTTCAGACTCTCAAAGTTTAAACCAACACTGACTACTTAGTTGTGCTGAAACAAATTATGTTCTTGTCTTCCATAGATATTTACTCTGCTGGCCATGGTGGTCTCAGACCGCCCTGCAGAAGTATTTCTTTTAGCCGGCATAGTGGTGCACTTCTTTAATCCCAGCACTTAAGAGGCAGGAGCAAGAGGATCTCATTGAGTTCGAGGCCAGCCTGTTCAACTTAGTGAGTACCAGGACAGCCAAGACTGTCTTTTTTTTTTTCTTTAAGTGTTTCTTATGAACTTGGGTGTGTTTGTATTTGGTGCATAACTGTTTCCAATTGCAATGTCCTTTTATTGGATTTTCCTTTAACATTTATATACTGTCCTCCCTATCTCTTCTACTTAGTTTTGTTTTAAAGTCTATGTTGTCAGATATTAACATGGCTATACATGTTTTCTTCTTGTGTTAATTTGCTGGAAATACTCTTTTCTATTCTTTCACCCTGAAGTTATTTATTTGTTTTGTTTTGTTTTGTTTTTGAGACAGGGTTTCTCTGTGTAGCTTTGCTCCTGGATCTTGCTCTGTAGACCAGGTTGGCCTCGAACTCACAGAGATCCGCCTGCCTCTGCCTCCCGAGTGCTGGGATGAAGGGCGTGCGCCACCACCGCCGGCTGGATCCTGTTTTCTAATCTCATTTGTTAGTCTGTGTCTTATTTGGTAATTGAAATAATTTATGTTGAAGAGTGTTTATTAATTCTTGTTATTCTGTTGTTATTGTGTGGGGTTTTTTTTTAAAGATTTATTTATTATGTTTCTGCAGGCCAGAAGAAGGCACCAGATCTCATTACAGATGGTTGTGAGCCACCATGTGGTTGCTGGGAATTGAACTCAGGACCTCTGGAAGAGCAGCCACTGCTCTTAACTCTGAGCCATCTCTCCAGCCCCTCTATATAACTTTTGAGGCAAGATCTCACTAAAATCTTAGTCCTTTTGCCCCTGCCTCCCAAATGCTGAGATTACAGGCCTGTACCATGCCAAATTACTGAAGACATTTCTGTTGGTTTCCATTTGTTTGAAACAGGATCTCCTGTAGTTCAGGCTGGCCACAAACTCACTATGTAATTAAGGATAGTCTTTACTCACTCACTATTCAGGCTGGCCTCAAACTCTGGATCCTCCTGCCTCAGCTTCTTAAGTACTAGTATTACAGGCCTATACCACCACTCCCCGCTTTCCTAAATATAATTTAAATAACTGATTTCAAGTATTTTGAGGGAGCCAATGAGATGGCTCAGCATATCAAGCCTGACAGCCTGGGTCTATTCCTGGACTCACATGGTACAATGAGAAAGCCAACTCCTTCGAGTCCTCTGGCTTCCATGCTTGTGCATATGTGTCCCCCTGTAAATACACATACACATCCATGTACACAAACAAATAAATGTAATGTTTTTATAAGTTCCTGCCTTAGCGTCCTCAATACTGGAATTATTTGCATATACCACCCACCGTGTCTTGATTTTTTTAAATGTTTTTCAGTACTAGCTATTGAACTCAGGGCCTTACTCATGTTTGGCCAAGTGTTAATCAATTGAACTATATCCCCAGCCACTTTTTGCTTTTTATTTTGAAACAGGGTCTCTCTAAGCTGCTTAGGCTGGATTTGAACTTGTCTCAGCCTTCTAGGTAGCTGGACACCAGGCCTGGATCTTGATTTACTTCCATCTGATACACAAAACATTAAAATTGCATATGTTAATGAGTACCATGTTATATTTTCATATACAAAAGCATTGCACATTCCACATTCAGTCAAGCAGAGCCCTGGCTAGCCTGAAACTATGTAGACCACACTGGTCTCAAACCCACAGAGACATATACCTGCCTATGTCTCTGGAGTACTGGGATTAAAGGCATGCACTACCTTACCCAATCAATGTCTTTTTTTAAAAGTATTTATTAGTTTTTTGTGTGTGCATGTGTGTGTATATTGGGGAAGGGTGCACGTGTGCCACAGCAGCACAAATGTTGTGGTCAGAAGACAACTTTGTGACATCAGTTTTTTTCCTTCCATTTTTACATGCATTCCAGGAATTAAATTGAGGTCGCCAGCCTTACACATAAAGCTCTTTTACTGACCGAGTTATCTCATGAACTCCAGAACAGAACTTCTTTGATTGATTGGCCTTTCCCCAAGCATACATCATCATTACTTTCTCCAGCCTCTGGAAACTCGTTATATGTTCATTTGCTGTGAGATTAACTTTTGTTGAACCTATGTGTGTGTGATGTCATGGAGAACTTGTTTTTTTGTGCCTGGTTTCTATTTAGCATAAGGATTCCCAGTTCCGTCCACAGTCTTGCATAAGACAGAATTTCATTCTTTTTTGTGGCTAATTAAATATTCAGTTGTGGGGGTCGGGGAGATGGCTCAATGGGTAGAGTACTTGCTGTGCAAGCATAGGGCCCAGAGTTTGAATCCCAGGCACCCACATAAGAGCCAGGTGGGCATGACGACCCAACCTGACTGTGCAAGTATCTCTGGTTTGCTGACTTAAATTCCTTTGGATATGTACCCAGGAATGGTAGCCTGGATTATATGGTAGTTATATTTTAGGGTTTCTTTTTTTAGGGAACTCCTTTCAGCATTTGTTGTAACTTGTTTTCTTCACAACAGCCTAGAAAGTTGAAGGCAGAATCCACACAATGTGATTCAACACATTGTAATAAAAACCATGTATAGCCGGTGGGGGTGGTGCACACCTTTAATCCCAGCACTCAGGAGGCAGAGGCAGATGGATCTCTGTGAGTTCAAGGCCAGCCTGGGCTACAGAGTGAGTTCCAGGACAGGCACCAAAACTACACAGTGAAACCCGGTCTCAAAAAACCAAAACCAAAACCAAAATAAACCAAAACCAAATACATGTATAGTTGGCATGTGTCTGTAGTCTCAGTACTGGGAGGAGAGAGATATAAATCATGCTAGCCAGTCAGACTAGCTGTGACAGTGAGTCCCATGTTCAGTGAGAGACTATCTCAGAATAATAAGGTGGAGAGTGTTAGAGGAAGATGTACTAATGTCAACTCCTGGGTTCTCTACATGCTCATTCAAAATCAAGCATGCCTATGAATACACACACACACACACACACACACACACACACACATACACACACATACACACACATACACACACAGGAGGGAGAAG